GGGATGATGGTTACCTAATCTACTAGCGCTTCTAATGAAGACAAAGGAAAGTGAATGGATTTGAAATGTTCAGGAAGTGGAATTGATAGTTCTGATGAAGTAATGGATATGTAGGGTAGGGAGAAAAACAAGAGAGTTTGACACCCTGACTCTGGTTTAGGGAACTGAATAGGTTTAGGGCCATTCACATAGGCAGTAGACATGGATGAGGTCATTAGTGCAGGAACAACAATAAATGTTTTGAATCATGGAGAGTGTTTCCAGTAAGGCTGACAGTTAACAGCTGGGGAACTGGCCAAAGCTAGGGAGTGAGAAGATGGTTAAAAAGGAGAACCAAGGAAACCATCACACAAAAAAGGATAAGGCCACCCATGGGTGTGTCTGGAGGAAGAAAAGCCCAAACTCTTAGAAAGAAGGCAAAGCTGTTATTAATAGAAAGCAGGATTTCTCCAAGAGTTATTAAAAAGTCAAAGAAAGTAAAAGAAAAACTAAGAAAATGGGGTCTCAGAAACAAGTTTCATGATTTCACAAGCAGGTTGAGATGCTAGATTAAGGACAAGATTCAACTTCCCCTCCTATTCCATTTGGGATGAGATGACAAAGAGATTAGTGTCATCATTAGCATTAGCAGACATGTGCTGCTGAGGAATGACGAGGACATAGAAAACAGGAGCATTGAAATTTGAAAGGGACACATAAGCCTAAGTAAGCAAGGAGGAAAAGTTATTTCATCTGGATTCTGAAAAGAGAATAGGAGTTAGTCCAAGATGCTTATAGCATATTCACTGACAAATACTATTCTCCAGCAGACATTTGGTATAATTTGCCTTAATAAATATGTTAATGAACTACAAGTTTGTATAGCATTTGATAGACCAGTGGGTTTAGATTATAACTCTTGCTATTGTTTTTAGGAAAGAGGTTTTAAATCCGCAAGATTGAGAGCTAAGAGGGAGCCCAGATGGGATAGATAGTAAGTAAGAGTCAAGATAGAGTCCATGAGTGTGCATCGCATTGGAAGAGAGTCTCTGCTTTGAAGACTATCTAGGGCATGGGGAGGCTGAGGACAAGAAGGGACATCATGGGGAATGAAGAGGTGTGAGTGTTAATCTCAGCTGTGCTCTAAAACTCCTTCATCCTACTGCTACTCCTAGTAGTTCCTTCATCTTCTGAGAGAGGACTTGAGATAAGTAATTTCCAATGATCAGCCAGGCTGGCCTCCAGTGATTCCTTGTGTGCTGGGCTCTTCCTGGGTGACTGTCTCACTGCCAATATGAACCCATTCACTCAACTGCTTCCTTCCTTGCCAATGACAAATGAAGGACACTCAGGTTGATTCTATATCTTGACTATTGGGAATAATTCAAGAATGAACATGAGCATGCACATAGCTTTTTGATATACTAATTCATTTCCTTTGGATATACATGAAGACTTGTTAGATTATAAGGTAGTTGTTGGAAGCAATTCTACATAATTTTGGGGAAAAATCATTTGATTAGGCCTAGTTCTCCTGCCTACAGCCAAGCTATGGCATTCCGAGACCGAACTCCATTTTGGCCTCTGGTCACAGCTAAGACCTCAATGGTCCGGTGATGCTGTGATGCTCCAGGACAAGATTACACCAGCTGAAGACATCCTGGGAGGAACAAGATCTTCACCTGCATAGCTCCTCATTGTTCTAGGATTTCCACAGGCCCCCAAGTCATCTGTTACGTTTGTTTCTCCCCATGTACTGAATTCTCTGTCTCCAGTCATTTGTTACATGTGTTTTTTCCTGTGTACTGAATAAAGGTGCAGCAAGCTTGGGGGCTTTCATTTTTGCCTCCCAGAGCAGCACTGATCAGGCCCAAAGCTCAGCTTCTTCTCAAAGTCTCAGTTTTTCTACCTTTCCTGTATAATATGTTGATTTGCCATGTGCTGTCATGGCTCGCAGAAGATTAGTAATGGCTGCAGATGTTCTAGTAATGTCCCCATTCCCTGTTGCCTACAGGTAGTCCTACTTTTAATTTTTTGAGATATTTCCATACCATTGGTTCATTATTAAATTCTACTTTTTCATTTATTCTTATTTTCTATTAGTGTCTTTTTTATGGATTATTGTTGTATTTAGGAATACTGTACCTTTTATTTATTTTGAGAAAGGTATCATTTCCTTGTATTTCTTCCCCAAAATATAATCAAATGGAAAAGAATGATTATAAGATATCAAGTGAATTGAGAACAATCTCCTTATGGTATAATCTGTTGTTGTTGCCTTCCAACTCTAATGGATTTCAATTTGGTTGAATGTCTGACTGCCTATAATCAAAATAACTATCATTCTCACAGTGTCTTTTTAAAAAATAGTCTAAGCCTTCTCAACTGTGACAATTCATCATTTTGTTGTCTATCTTAGTTAGCTAGGAGTGTTATAATAACAAAACTCTAAAAATTCAATGCCTTAATATAATTAAAATCATGTTCTTCCTTGTCTGTATATTTTACTGTCTGAAAAAGACTTCAAAGTATAATTTCATAATTCAATAGAATTAATAACATATGTATTATTTTTAAGTGTGATTTTTGAAAATTGCATTGCCTTTTCCTGTCTTAGGATTGTTTCAGAAGTTGAGTGGTACAAAACTTGAATCCCAGAGATTCTTTACAATGGTCTTTGCCTTGTTGCATAACAATATTAAATTAAACAGGCAAAGTTCAGTGGTTAGATGTCTTCATGCTAAGAAGATATGAGGTCATACTAGTCCTGATTAAAGTGCATTAACTGTTTCAGTTATCATGTTGGAAGTTCGTATTATGGAGTAAAGAAAAAGGAGTGCTAGGATTTGAATCTGATCCCCCATTCCTGAAGTTATGCACCAATATAACTCCAAAAGTTTTCTGACGATTGCTTGAAGAGAGTGAGAGCAATCTGACTGTGGTGTTTAGAGGTGAAGCTGTGGGAAGGAATTAGATTATATTGAATCCTTAGAAAGGATCCACTATAATTGAATCCTAGTGGTTTTATAAGAAGAGGGATGGAGAGAGTTATGTGTTGCTGCCATGACATAATGCACCATTTTGTTTTGATTTCTAGCCTCCAAACTTGTGAGCTAAATAAACCTCTTTTCTCTATAGAGTAGACTGCCTCAGGTATTGCATTATAGTAATGAAATCTGACTAATACAGGGAGCATAGCAAGGTCAAGATAAACATGACAACAATCTTTATTTTGGAGAGGACTCAACTTCCTCTTCTCTAGATACCAATATTCCTTCAAAAGTACAAAATCAAACCACTCCAGAAGCAGCTCAGGTAATCTATAGCCAACAGTGTAAGTGGGTTGGACAGCTATGTTATTGTAACCATGATAGAGAAAGGCAGTGTTCACTGCAGGATAAATCAACTGCTCCCTGTGGAGAAATCAGAACACAGAGGAGAAAAGTGCATGGTGATTCTCTTGTCCAGAGCTCTAAGGCTCCTAATGACCTGCAGGTCTCCTTTGAGTCTACTTTTCTAATTCAAGCATCTACATCTGTCAGGCATTCTTCCAACCAGCGCCCCATCTAATCTTATGCATGTGATTTCCAGCAGCAAAAAGGAGCTCTGCGACACATAATGTAAAACATGCGATTAGGAGTTTTAGATGGTCTTGATCATTAATCAAAACAGAAAGTTAAATATTCAAAAGTGGTAGAGCCTTTCCAAGATCACATTCCAGGTCTGCTGGACTGAAGACGTGAGCCAATGTCACATCATGCAGACAGCACCACAGTCAGTGCAGGAAGAGGCAGAGAGATGATGACTCCAGGATGAAGTGCCCAATGCCCTGGTCATTGAATTCATGTTGTGGGGCCAAGAGCAAAGGGCTAAGCTTGGATGCTTCTAATATGGAAGATCTGACACTGAAAGCCTCCAGACTCTTGTTCTGCCTTGGGTCTGACTGTCACACCCCACAACCCTCCTCCCCACGCATCCTGCAATAATTATTACCACAGTGCATGCAACCACAAATGTACCTGTGATTTTCTTAGCCTATATGCCCCTAACTACAGAATTACAAAATAGCACCTGCTGAACTTCTCCTTCTGTAAAAAGGAATCCTCAAATTTTCTCCTGTTCACCTTAAAAAAAGGCTAGAATACAAACTGTTGAATGAATTCACTAGTGCTACTTGTTTTCATCCTAAATAGGTGTTTAATTTAGCTAACCCGATTGCTTAAAACTTATCACCAATACTGTACAGTGCAGAAAAATATATTCACTTAGAGCCAAAGCTCTGGTAGGTTTTATTCAAGTGGTTTGTCAGCTTTAACTTATGCTTTGTTATCTGCATGAGAGGAGGATAAAATCTGCAAGGTATTTTGTCTGTGAGTGAAAATGAGAGGAAACTGTGAACCCAGAGCTGGAAATATTTACATATCTTGTAATTCCAGTGAATGTGATTGGTCTGAATCCAGACTAGTTTAATGCATGGGTTACTGTGGCTGCAATTGCTCCTAGAGCTCTCAGAGAGTTCAGTACTATGTTGGCACAGATCTGAAGGAGAAAAAGGCAAACTTGAGTCCTTATTCATACACTTTAGGGGCCGGGGATTTAGCTCAGTGGTTCTGCCTCTTGCCTTGCAAGCACAAGGTCCTGAGTTCGATCCCTGGCACCAAAACCCAAAACCAAAACAGAAAAACCCCATACACTTTAGATATTGGTAAGTTGTTAGCAAGTGTGGATTTATGTATGCACTCCATTGTATGTATACCTAAAATGTACCAATAAAAGAATTTAAACAACAAAAAAAAGCAGCTAATCCCTAGAGGTAAAATAAGATATGGATCTAATTTGATGAGACACTAAAATCTTCTGACCTGTCTTAGCTAACAGAATTCTGATGCTTGTTGTTCATTAAAAGGCCTAGGGTAACAACTTTAATAACATTTCTAAGCACTTTTGGTAAGCTATGTATAAGCCAGATATAGACAAAATGACCTGTGGTTATGGAGAAGGAATAAAATTATTTTCCTGAGAATATTTAAGGTCCTCTTTATTATAGAGACACTGATGTATTGTGGGAAGCATTGCAAAAAGACCAGGAATGTCACACAGATGTTCTATCAAACCACTGAAGTAGCTCGGAGAGCCACTTCTTCAGTCTTGATGTGGGGCAGGTATGGTGTATCTGTGCTCATATCACCTGCCAACAAACTGTTAAGGAGAAACAGAACACACAGTAAATGAATTTCAATTTGTTAGACCTCCTACATGATATAAAATTTAACCCCCTCCAGCAAAACTCCACATAAAGTGTCTAAACTAATCTTATGTGCACAACTCCCAGTGACAAAAATGAAAACTGCAGGGTCCTCATGGAGATTCATAATATGAAACAGAGTTTTGTATATAAATTCTTTAACTCATCAGTAAACAAAAAACGCAAATATAGAGTGGCACAGATAATTACAAGCCCTCTAGACCTGAGACACTTATTGAGAGAAATGGATTCGTAAGAAAGGACTGCAGCCAGAAGAAGAGACAAGACAAGCTCAGTCACTGTGAGGATGAACTTTAAGGACCACGGGGTTAGTGCCAATGGGGACCACATGGGAGAGAAAAGTTCAAGAACTGTGAAGAGATGTTATCGATCATGGGCCCACTTACTGTCATTCCTTACACATAGACAAACTCTAGTGTAACAAATGTCCCATTCTGCTGCTCCACACAGATCATCTCTAATTCAGATGAAACACAACTGCGCATTGTAATGTATAGATGCTCAAGTGTGTAGGGTCACAGCCTTAACGTGTCACACAAGTGAAATGAGCTCTTGCTCTTCGGTTTGTTTCTTGTTACAATCCAAATCACAGAAGGATGCTTGTTTCCAAAGACTGTTTTATAGAAGTGTCTGGATTTGAGAGTGATTTAGAAACCATTTCTATTTCATAGCAATGAGTCTTCATTGTGGAACTAGTGTAACATTAAAAAATGCAGATGGTACAAAGGAATCTGGGATTTCCATATTACTGTTCTGAATGAAATAGAGTCCTTGGACTACTATATTTTACCTAATGGAAGACTAGAATAAACATCATTAAATTATTAAATTAATTCTTGGGTCCTGTTTGTTTTCATCTTAAATATGTTTTATTTAGCTATACCTGATGTGCTCAAAACTTAACAACCTACTGCATAAAGAAATTTATTCATTTAGAGCCAAGGCTTTGACATTATTTATGCAAGTGATTTTTAGTTTTAACTTGTGCTTTTAAAAAATTCTGCCTAATAAAACCTACAAGGTACTTTATATATGTGGACAAATGCCAATAAATCCTATCCCCGGATCTGGAAATACTTACAGATATTATATCTCCAACCAATACGTCTGACATCTCTATTGTTGCAAATGAGTCTAAGCCATGCATTACTGTTAAGGTTCCTGTAAACACAGTGTTCAAAATATTCATTCCTTGGCAGGAAAAATTCTGCAGGAGAAAAAGAAAACTAAATTTACTCATTTGGTCTGGAGATTTGCACACCACTGCACAGCATGGGTGTGTGTGTGTGTGTGTGTGTGTGTGTGTGTGTGTACTCTATTAAAATATGAACCACATTAAGATTTATAAAAGCAATGCAAGAGATACTATGCGCACTGTTGGCCAATTTACACTTAGAGCCAAAACAGACAAATGACCCGTGGTGCTGGAGAAGGAATCATTCTGAGGCTTCACATCAGACCTGTGGAAAACTGGCAAAGGTTGGCTCATTTTGTATGTCAAGGATGATGTGTCCTTTGGCTGTCATAGTTTGTTGAAACTACAGGGAAACTCACCACATTGCTTTCTCTTTTCTTTTCAGGCACAACCATCAGAATTCCAGAAATGACATACTGTATAAAAATGGAGTTCAGTGAATTAGTCTGGGATGACATCATCTATAGTACACTTTTCCTAAGAGGAAATTTTTCTCAATGTTTTCTCCCAAACTCCGGGTTCATAAACAACATAGGAAAAAAGTTCTCAAGGATTATATTCACATTTAAGTGATAAAAAAGTCAAGATTATTTGAGTTTACTTACAATGACTGGTACGAAAAGGTAGAAGTAGGGCCATGCAGGTGGAATTGTACTACAGAAAGATCATAATGAGCCACACTGGAGAAAATAATTATCCACAGGATAATCAGCAGCACACCAAATCTTATTTGGAGCACCTAAAGAAGGATAAAGTACTTTTGAGGAAGGAAGAATAAGTGTTACTCTTTGAAAAAATTACCAGTTTAGGATTTCTTAATGAGTCAGGACTTCCTTCATAAGGGTAATTCTGCTAGGATCAATGCCTAAATTCAACTTCAGCTCTGCCCAAAAGATGACTTTGGTAATTTTCAAAAATTATAAATATAAGCAAATAGTCTCTGCTTAATGGAAGTGTTTCTATGGGCACACCAAATTATGAAGTGGTCCAGTAACTGGACCCCCAGCAAATTTAGCAGAACAGGGAGCACCTCAAACACCAGGGGCCTTTACAATGCTTACCGCTAAAACATGTTGAACTCTAATCATGTGAGTCAGCACAGGGTGCTGTGCCTCCTGAGGGCCAGGCATTGCCCAGATATCTCAGAAAAATGACAGGTTTCTGCCTTGAATGTGGAGGGTCAGATGGCTGATCATACTGCTTTTCTCAACCAGTGCTGCTCTTGCTGACTGAAGACATGGCATTCTGGATCATCAGATCAAAGAAGTCTTTTTGTGCAGAAAGTTTTCATGCATGCAAATATCAAAGAAGCACAGTGTTATGACAAGTGCTAGAGATTAAACTGTAATTTTTCTTCAGCCAATGCTGGGGAGATTCTGACATTTAATACATGTTCAGCATTCTTTCTTAGCCAGTTCAGAACAGAACACTCTGTTATATTAAGTGCCAGAAAGGCTATGAAATCTATACCTACTCCAGGGGGGAATCTGAAGGCTCTAGCCTGAACCAAAGTGTCTTATATATACAGTGTCTTGAATGATGATTACTATTTCCAGGATACAGCTGAAAATCAAAATACCAACCAGTAATCTTAGTTCTTCTGTCCTAGAGAGACACGGAGTGAAATATTTTATTAGTTTTGCTGCATTAGAATTCTTTTATTTACCAATAGATCTAAGTTGTATGTGATATTATTATTTCTGTTTTGTTCCTGGCTTCAATGTCTGGAAAGTTTAAGAAATGATACATTGTCTTCCTTAATCCCTATAATACCTTATGTGCTCTCACACTCTGGTTTCTCTTATAACTGAGCCTGCCCAGCACACACTATACCCAGTCACACAGATCTCTAGGTGTCAGGTGTCCATTCTTCCAGTGCCACGCCCATCTGAACCTGAACAACTGCTCTGATATTCTCATGATCCAAATAAAGAAATTACACATCCAACGCCTCACATCAGGGATGATTTCAGTCCCCTTCAGTAATGAGTTTTCTCTGTTTCTTTAAAACATGGACCATTCTGAGTTTAAACATGGGTAGTGAAACCTTTTCTGGCTTCAGCATGATGCAAATTCTACCTCACAGACACTCCTTTTTGAAAAGAAGGTATTTTTCCTCATACTTCTACATTGTTTCATTTTAGAGTACATTATAACAATTCTCCACATGTATGGTGAATAGATATAATCTAATTTAGTAGGATGACATATTCATGAAGAGTTAGAAATATGAATATTTTTGTAATATATTAAGTAATTAAACATTAGATGTTTGTTTTAGTGAAACTAATGCCTTTGATTCTTAGGGATGTTGAGAACAGAAAGTATCATTTTTTTTTTAATGATAAGTTCAGAAAGAAAAGTCATGAACATATATAAACTGGTGTTTAGATTATGGAATTACACATGGACCCAAAGGAATAGAAGCATTTATGGTTAATCAGGATATCTCTTCATGCTGAATTACCAATGATCTTCTGACTTTATTCATATTTTGCCCCTCACAGTTCCCCACTCCATCCCCCAAATCTGCTGTTCCACTTCCCAAAGCACAAACATGCTAAATTGTTCTTAAAATGTGCTTTTCAGTTGCACATATTACCATAACATTATAATTAGCTTGAAATAAGTGCTGTTATTAGCTGAAATAAGCTTCCTTTTTGATAGTTATGACTAATCAGTACACAAAAAATACATATGCATAGTTTGTTATGTCTTTGACTCTCCAGTTTTATCATTACTTCATATTCAAAGCAAAAATACCATGCCTTTATGAACTAACTGTGGCTCATTTTTTACACGCATAAAATTCCATATATTAAAATTATATTTCATTGATTTCTGCTTTAAAATCACTTTTGCTTTCATAGCAACACAATTCATAGTAGCTAAATCTTGGAGGCAGCTTAAAAGTTCATTAAGAGCAATGGATAGGGAAAATGTGGTATGTATATACAATGGAGTATTACTCTGCCATAAAGAAGAATAAACTTGAGTCATTTATAGGAAAAAAGGATGCACTTTGAGACCATAATGTTAAGTGAAATAAGTCAGAGAGCTTAAATATTCTGTGGTTTCTCTTATATGAGAAACCCAAAATATAGAGAAAGAGCAAGATAAAAGACAGATAATATGAAGTAGGGAAATAGATCTTTCTCAAGGGTAGAGGATCAAGAGATGGGGTAGGGGAGGGAAAGGGAATGTAAAAAGGAGGGAAGGGGAGTCATGTGCATCTGACAGCTCCTCACAGGGAAGGCAAACATTACGTACTGCAAACATGGCCTAAGAAAGAAATGAAAACCACAAAGGTGGGGAAACTATAATTCAGATCATGGTCACTAGAACTCTTCTGACTGAATTTCCTACGTGGAGAAATGAAACTAGAAAGTAAACATGTATTAAGATGGTTGGATACAGCAGCACCAAGGGATCTGGCAGCCTAAACTTGGGACCACTGGACGTGTAGGATGACCTTTCCTGATCCAGGACTAAAGAAAGTTTCTTATGAGCCTGAGACTTTGCCATGGAGGAACAATCCTTACTGTCTAAGGAAGAACCATTTTCTGTAAGGAATGCAGGGCTACATACCTCCATGACAAGTGTGGCTCAGTCCTGAGACACCATGTGCCCTGTACCGCTGTCCCTCTCAGAAGCTTTCTCAGGAGCGAGGCAAATGGCATTGGACCTGCAGCTCATCTGGACACCAGACAAGGTGTGGAGCATGGGTTTCCCTGCATTTCAGTTTCACTTTATTAGAAAGAGTCTTCTGCTCTATGAGGAGATAAAATATCTTACCAACAATGTCACCATCCTGACAGAGTTTCTTGCAGATGGTTTCTGCGATGAGCAGAGGTACACGATGCTGACAAATTATTGCTTTATCTCTGCTGCACACACAGCCAGGGTTTTCAGTGCCAAACCTTCCACATCCCTCTCTCTTTGTGAAGAAAAAATTGTAGTTCCCTTTTCATAGTCTCCCAGGTTACCTCTAATAAAGTACATGCTTTCTTTTGTGGACATAGTTTGACTTAGAAATGCAGGTGTCTGTAGTTCACAGAAATTCTTCAAGTAGGATGAATGAATTGAATTATTCGTATAGATAGGGAAGATGTCTGCACTCTTCCCTATTCATTTTAATTTGTACATTTTCCTCATAATCACAGTCCTCAATGCTTTTCCCTTTATCTTGCCCATTTCTACTACTTGCAGGATAACTATACAGGAAGACAGTGCACAATATTTCTGAGCACCCTATAGGAAATGCCAATCATAAAGTTATTTGCTATTTGCCCATATCTCTGAAAGTGTATACTTCAAATTCATAACAAAAACCAATGAGATCTACAGGTATATTTCAATTCAACTTTAAATTGAAAAAAAGGAAGTATAGTCCTTTCCATACAGACATCTTCTATAATACTTACCCTCAGTTTCCAAGATAAAATTGAGAGGATCAATGCTTTAAATACTTAGTGTTTGATTTGTGATAATTTTATGAAGAGCTTTGTCACAGGGGAAAAATGATGTTTTTCTTTACTCCTGGTTAATGTCTGTACCTTCATCTATAAGAAGTGATCTATTCTACCCTCATCCCATTTCAAATCCATCAAAGGAATAACATTCCCTTACCAAGTTGGAGAAGTTTCAGTGTCTTTTTTTTTTGTGTTGATTTAATGAGAGATAACCTTGAGTATTGCCCTTTGGTACTTGAATGCATTGTTATTACCATAGATTTTCTTTTCTTTCTAGTACTGATTCACAGTACATTATGTATTGATGTATAGTATAAGTAGATGTTCTAAGAGTAAAGCAATGTTGTGCACCTAGCAAGGTTTATAATATTTGTCTTATTAAATGCAATAAAATCACACTGAAATGAAATGAACTTCAAATATTAACTATTGAGAATGAAGAACAAATAAGAGAAAGGAACAAGAGCAGTGAAATTCTTTGGCTAGAGAAGGTAAATATAAGCAGGATTAGGGCAGATGAGTGACAAGTATTGCAGAGCAAAGAGCGCACAGCATCCCAGGAGGAGTAATGTCAGTAACTGCCCAGGAGTTACACTGCTGGGGGAAAACAGTGTGGGCTAATTTCCCAGTGCAGACATGCTAATAAATGCCTATTGCAAAGGTGTGATGGAAACCACACATGGTTTATGAAACCTCAGAGAAAAATAGCAATGGAACCTGCTAACATTGGAGTTTGTGGGTTAGAATTCCCCACAGGAAATACAACTGGCAATAAAATTCATGCTCAAAGATACTAAAATTTAAAGAATCATCTCACACTTTATCTTTTCCCATGTTCAGTTTCAATTGACTTTCTTCTCTTGGCCATTGCTGAAGTCACAGCACTGAGTTCTCTAACTCAGTACTTAGCCCCCTTGACATCCCTTCTTTGTGGAGATTATTTTCTATGAGTACAGATTTATACAACAGGAGAGAAAATATACAAAACTCTGAGTGGAAGACAGGTTTGCAGACACTCTATGTAGATTTTATATTTTCACAGAATACAGATCATTAGTTAATTTTTTTTGATACTGGGGATCAAACGTGGGTCCTTGCACTTGTGAGGCAAGCAGCAGAACCACTGAGCTAAATCCCTGGCCCATTAGCAAAGGTATAATAGATAATGTGAAACAGGAAGAAAAGGGGCAAAGGGGAAGGGGAAGTGGGAGGGATAGGGGAAAGAAAAAAAGGGAATGGAATTTATATGAGAAAATGAAAAAAAAGGAAACAAAGCCTTTGTAAATAGGGAGGAATGGAGGGGTTGAAGGGAGGGCAGGGGAAGGGGGAAAACTAAGAACCATGAGAGATTATGTAAAAGTGCAAATTTCCAATGATGAATGTCATTATATTGTACACTTAAAATGTACCAATAAAAGGATATACAAAAAAAAAGAATTTTAAACTTAAAAAAATTTTTTTAAAAGAAGTTTCCAGACATTAGAAATGAATAGGTTACATTGAGTAGGTTCTCCTACTACTGTGGAATAATTTCTACATCAAATATGGAAAAAACAAAATTACAAAATATATAAAATACAAAATTACAAAATATATGGAAATTGTTAAGAAAAAGTTTGAAAGGAAATTTTTTTCAGAAAGACATGACCCCAGGAACATTATCAAATATCTTCACACCATGATAATGAAAATAAGGTGAATTACAATTCCTGAGATGCAGGTGATTGCCATCACTGTTAGCTATTGATACTATTGCAGCCCAGAATAAATTATTGAAATCATTGATGTATTCTTCCAGTTCAAATATCTAGAGAAATGAAAGTTATGTCAATGAATGTAAAAGAAAAATATCAGTGCTAAAGATATATTAAAGATATATATCTATATTTATCTATCT